TCCAACTCCATCCGTGCCTGGTCTTTGATCCCCCCGCTGTGGCGGGCGAAAAGTGCCGAGTAGCCCTCAAAGTGGTGCCTGTCGAAGACAGGAAATGCCAACACTTTCGGTTCCTTTGGCGGACCGACTAAAACGGAAGCACAATGCTTTTTTGAACATGAACTTCTCACTTGGTAAAAAGGTCCCAGGAGTGCGCAACCTCTTCGTGGCTACCAGTTGTCATGCAAATCATGATCCTAGTGTTGGAGCGGTCTATCCAAAGGCACGCAAAAAATGAAAAGGGCGGCCGCGCCCATTTATGTTTAGGAGTGCTTGTGCACCTTGGCGTTGCTGATCAGCAAGCAAGCAGTCAAAAAGGGTGCACAGTCACTTGCTGAAAATGCTCAGAAGGCTTGGGCCCACATGTAGTTTAACCACTTAGACAACCTCCGTTGACCTAATAAACCAATGGTTGGCGTGAAGAATCATCTCCCACCCCCCCGTCAGTCAGAAGAGCCCCCTGAGGCAGCTGCAACGGGGGTGGCGGCGCCGTCAAGGCGTAGTTCTGGAAGAACTCGTTCATGACCTTGCCCCAGCCACTTTAGCGACTTTAGTGCTTGGTCATATCGGCCACAATCAAAACGTGGTAGTACGTTAATGTACCCAAAACAATGTAAAGAATTGAAAAGCCTAATTCTGGCTGGGATTGTCCCTAACTAGGTCCACGGCTAAAAAAAATCCGCCGTGTGTCAAACAGCTTTTCTTGAATCAAAGGCCTTACCCACATGAATAATTCTGAGAGCCGCGGATGCAGCTTTGCATCTTCTCCGGAAAACAGCTTACTGACAAACTGTGGTGGCAAAAAGGTTTTCAAGCTAAGCCACAACTTGGCTCAGTTTCCGAACTGTACGCAGCGCAACGTCTCTATGCCGCAGCCCACGCTGCTTGCAAGCTACTATTCTTCCAGTTTGTGTTCCCGTCCGAAAACACAATTGAAGAGCGTGACACGGTCGAGCAGGCGGGAGGCTTCAACTTGGCACTTGGTTTCAGTCATAGGGCGTGAGCCGACCGGCGGGACGACCGGTGTTGGCAGGGAAACCAAGGTCTTCCCCGATCTCTCCGCCAAGCAGTACACCGACCAAAGCACGGGCAAGCAAGGTCCGAGACAGTGAAACACCAAACGCCAAAGGAAACCTATCAGGGAGCAGCGCAACAAAAGACAGAACTGGGTCAGAGGTTTGCGCGACCACGTCAAAGAGAGAGCAAATAGATTGGACAACCCTCAAAGAACGGAGAGAGGCTTGAGTGACCAGCACACAATCCGAACAGCCAGCACAACGCAAAGCCAAGATCAGACCTAAAGCCAACCGAGCATCATTAAAGAGGAACATTTGGACCAAACTGCCGGTGAGTCAGCATGCCTATCTATGCCACGAACGACCCCCCCCAAAGAAATAAGGGGTGGAACAAAAAAAGTAATACAGCGGCCCTCGGTACAAAGCAAAAGTGCTGTTCTCACCACGGATTACGAACCGTGGTCCTACTACCCCCCATTACCCGGGCTTGGATTGTGACTCATATAGGTTTGTACAGGCCTAATACCTGTATGAACCAGGTTAAGTACAATCATCTCACATGGCCAAGAGTCATTGTGGGCGCTGCTCACTTTTGGCTCCATATGAATCCGTACATGAGCAACAAACCACGTTTGGCTCAAAACAAGCAGCATAGTGGCTGCCATTGGCATGATCTTTGTTCTGTCAATGTCTGCCAAACTTCGCCGTCTGCTTACCGAGCAAAACAAACATCCAGGGAACACAATGAGAAGTTAGTTAAACGTGTTGCCCGACCAAGTAAGCCAACGTTCCCACCCTAGCAAGAGCTTGGCTAAGCTGGCCACAGTCTGCTCAAGAAAGAGCTCAGTGCGAAACCGCCTTAGTGGCTTGCTTCAAGCCCAGCTGGAATCCTGGAGTCACTGGCTTTACGTTGCCTCTGGTTTTCTCATGTGAGTTGCGACATCTAGGCTTCCGATTTGTGTCCTTGTTTGCCGGTGGTTTCCCTTGAAGAGGGCAACATTGAGGATATCGCTGTCATGGACCCACAGTCTCTGTTTTCGCAACCGAATCGGGCGGATTTGGGTGAAACTGCCCGAACTCTGCGCAGCTTTTCTGCGCACGGGCGGCCAATGGCTTGCACAGCGCCCTTTGGGAGTTTGGGGACCAGACGTCATTTTGGGAAGAATGCCTGCAGAATGTTTCGAAGCAAACTAAAACCAGTGAATTCCTACAAAAAACACATCAAGCAAAGTCACTGTAAGGACACTTACGTGTGTCAACTCTTACGTGGGGCGCTGCGTTCACTGGTCCCCAACATCCCATCGCCTGGCTCTAATTCTGGCTCACCAAAGGTACTGCTGCTTCTTCCCTAAGGGCGGCAGTGCGCCCGTGGGCTGTACCTCTCGCATAGCAGGACTTGACAACTCAGACAACGCGAAGGTTGATTCATTGAAACCTCTGGATTGTGGTCTATCCAGCCCCTTTGCCATGGCTCCACAAAGGCAGTAACCGCCCAGAGAGAGCGCTGTCGCCTTTCAGCCTTTGGCCAATGGCGGTGGCCAGCAATTTTCCAGAAAAAGTGCTTGACATTCCGGCTCAATGAGTACGAACAGTCTTCAGGCGGGAATATGCTTCTTGTTACATGCTTTGGTGATCTAGTTTTGCTGCTCATGCAGACCCTAATGGTTTGCGCTCAGAACGCTGATGCTGCCGTGCATTGCAAAGGATATATGGGGTGTTGCTGCTTGAGATGCCCTTATAGAGGGTAAGCACATGCTTGCGGGGTTCACCATTTGACTCAAACCTGGCGTACACAAAATAAACAAACTCTCCATGGGTGCATCTCCAAATATGGGACCCCTAGAAGTAGTTGGTTTCCCTTTGGTTTCCCTTCAAAGACGTTTCCATGTGTCTCCAATTTCAACACTTGCTGCATGGACTTTGATGTCTTTGCTCCTCAAAAGGACAGGACCACATTGCAAACATTGCAAACTCTCAGCATGGGTCTTGCGCGACCAACACCTTAGGAACATCCCGAAACAACATCAATACAAACTGGGACTTGCCTCGCAATAAACAAGTCGTCACAACAGGGCAACCAAAAGCTCTGGCCTTGCCGCCCTGCCGGCGAGGAGTCGACATCTTCCTGCAAAGCTCCACAGAGGGTAGGCTCGCCGAAGGGTCAAAGGATCTATGCCAATGTAGGCCAGGAGTCGATAAGTGTTCAGTACGTCAATTGCCTGGAGTTGCTCAATAATCGTTTCTTCTGGATGCAAAACGGGAACAGTTTCAGTGACACACACACACGCGCACACACCACACGTTCATAGATTCGCGCGACTTCAACGCCTCTTTCTTTCAGAGTTGGGCGGTGTGAGTTTGAGTTCAAACGATATGACAACTAGATCCTGCCGGTCTGAATTTCCATGACTGACACACACGGAAAAACTGGAAATGGGATTGCCAAGAACCGCGATGCTTTCCAAAAGCTTGTCTGCTGGCGACGTGAATTCGGCACCAAAACGTAAACTCTGACAAGCATCCAGTCTTCTTGCAAGCGATCGGTGAGCTCTGGGACCGTGTGTGGGCGTGAGATTGCTTTCAAAGTCAGATCTGAGTTCGGGCCCAGAAAATGCCACCACGCAGCAGCCCAAATGGTCCGACAAGCTTCCACATAAAGTTTAGAGCTAACAACACCATGTGTCCAGCCAATAGCCAAGCACCAAACAGCCAGTAAGTTAAACAATCATGTCAGTCATACCAAACACATGAACCATAATGATCACATCTGTCATACTCCAACTACTTCGTCGCAGGACATCAACGTCATATCAAGCAAACTCATGATTCACTCATTAACCCTAAGTGCTCCAACAAATGGGTTCGATCGGATGCAAACAAAACGTGTCCTTCGAAACCAATTCGTTTCTTACGAATGGGCTCCCTGATCAGCCTTTCGAGAAGCTCCTGTCTGGAAAATTCCGGTAGCTGCTCATGGACTGGCCTTTCCTGCAAGGCGACGGTACGCAACGGACTGGCCAGATTCAAGGCCTCACTTCTGATTGGACAAGCTCCAAACTTCTCGTCTACCACTAAATGGCCTTCCCAAACAGGGTAAATTGTAAGTCGAGGAACTCAAGGAGTGTGCCCCCAAAACAATCACCTGCTCCATTTAGTGTCAATGTCATCAAATCAACCAAATCCCCAAGTGTTGGCGAGCACACCTGACCAGGCATGAAACGAGTATGTTGTGCTGCTTTGTGTTTGTGTGTGTGTGTGTGTTCATTGTTCTGTTTTGTTATTCTTTGTTTGCTCTTGGTTCAGTGAAGAACATGATGCAACGCCTTCAAACAGCCATGGACAGGGGCTCAGGCATGTCAATCGAGAGCAAATGCAAGCATGATGCGTAGCAAAGGCTGGCGGAGCTGGACAACAATCCAAAGGCTTCCGGAGCTGGACAAAGTGCCCGAAAAGAACAGCTAAGTAATCACGTGCTGAGAATCAGTGCCACCTGTCCCAAGATTCTCGACAGCATTCCGAAATGCGTTCCCAGCCACCAAGCGATTCCCCACTGGAAACCTACTGTCCAAATCTACCTAGATTCTCCATCAAAAGCAAACAGAGGTCATAAGAGGTCATTTCCGCTGATTAACCCGGATCTTAACAAATCATCAATTTAGAGGAACTTCGTTTTTGGGTACCCTTTTCGGAGTTCCATGTTGATTTGCAGGGGGAGCGACACCTTCCGACCCCCTCGGTGCTTCTCACCCCCCGCGGGTCATGGACGGGTTTCTCGACAGGCTCCGGCGCACAAAGTTGGGGGTGGTGGACCGGCCCGGGCCTTCCGCGACGCAAACGCATGATGAAAATCCAGGTGTCCCATGCAAATTCAGAGCCGAATGGCACGAATCTCACGCTGTTCCATGGAGCGGTGCCATCTTTCACCCTGAAGACTTAATTCACCTTGAGACTAATTGGCAAAACAACAAAGCTGATGACAACAATCCTATGACCAGCCAGCGGCCGGCAGCGAAGCAGCAATTGCATTCTAGTCGCTTCGAAAGGCTCAGAGTGAAAGACTTCTGTGAAGCACGGCTCAAACTTCAGACTCGTGTACAAGACTTGATGCTCCCACAAAACATGGAAGTGTGCAAACTCCGTGTCCAAAAGTACTACCAGTCTTCCAACAGGGGCCTGCGCACTTCCACGTTGGTGGAATGGTACTCATGTTATAGGCAACTTTCCGTTTGCAGCTGAATCCGTCACAGAAATCCGGGCGTTGAAGATGGGATCCATTGAAGGCACGGCAAGCATTGAGGAAAGTCATTCAACATCAGTGTTTTCTCGGGATTGCTGGAAAAAAACAGACGGAACTCACACATCTTGGGGGTTCTACTATTTTGAGACAATTCCGATACGACTTTGGGGACATTCAAGGCGAGATGGGTTGTCGAGCACAAAGGTCTTGCCAAACGCAACATGTATGTTTGGCCAGTGGTCTATCGCTTCGGCCGTTTAAGCAATGCAAAAAGAGCATGACAGGATTTGAGAAATCCCAAGCACTGGCAGCCTCATGGCGAAAAAGGCTTAACAAAAAAAACAGCGTTTGGCAACACGGGTCTGCACGCGCGCAGCAAAGCTGCTCCTGGTATTGCAAGCACCTTATGGCAACCAAAGACCTACAATCATAAGATGTTGGGTCCTTCCCAGCTGCAACAAGGCAAAACGGGGCACTACAAATCTGGGTCTCACAGCTCCCGACAACTTCGACTCCCGCGCCATCCAGCACAAAGTCCACCAGCTGATCACGCTGCGCGTGTGTCTGGCAAAAGGCGTGGCCAAAGTTTGGACAAAGCCAGTCAACATATCAGGGTACCCCCAAGTAGATTTGGGGGTTTCATGAATTAAAATCCCTGGTTCTTCTAGAGGGCAAATGGGAAACCACCCCCTAACCTCCAAACCACCGGGCTTCCAAACCACCAATTGGAGGGAAACTGAAGTAATTGTTATGTTAGTCGTCTGGATTTGAGTGGGGAATGTAATGAACCCTTCCCTCGTTTTAAATTGATTTTGAACACATTTGTCCAACCATTTCCCGGCACCTTGAACATGCGAGCACATTGCATGTTGCTTGTCGTCAGCCTTGTAGCAAGCTGCCTGGCGGAAAGGGTGCTCAAAGGATCAATGTGATGCCAACGAGGCATACCGAGGCAACTGCGGCAGACCAATAGGCACAAAGCAAAGAAACAACACAACATTATGTTACAGCTTAATTGGCGTCACCCAAACTTTAAGTATGTCAACCATGCATCCCATCCACTTGTCCAGCTCTGACATCCGCAATTTCTGGTACTCCTTGCCAAACACAATGCATGGACTACTCTTCTTGCCGACTTGCCGACTTCCCTATCCCTTTTTCCACGCATGGGCAACAATTAAGCAGCACAAGAAAATCCATCTCCATCCCCTCACCATCTTGAAAACCTTTCCGCTCGAAGGCTTCCAAAGGGATCTCCGCACGGCTCCCACATCGACGCCTTGACGTGCCGCCTCGGAGTCATCCTCCTGTCATGAAAACCCTCAGAAAAGGCGGCTGATTGACACACCCAAGTTAACTTGTCCGGCGAATGCTGAGCACCACAGCGTCATGCCCTCTTCACATTTGTACTCGTTGTGAATTACTAAACTCCCTGCAAGCCAGCTGAACTCAGTCAAGTTCCCGAGATCTGCTTATTAGGGGCCACCCAAAGAATCAGGCTCAGGATATGCCCTGGTTTCATGACGTCCTCTCATCTAATGTAAAACAGTGCTTGGGCATCCTGAATAAGGATCTGGCAGGGGCTTGGATGACTTGAGTGTTGCTTGCTTTCGTGTTGCCACTACTTAGTTAACATTGCCAGCACTTCCTTTTGGGTTGCCGTTACTTAGTTTAGTATTGCCAGCACTTCAGCAATTTTTGCTTCTCAGGTCACGCTCCTTGAGCTTTGCTTCTAAGCTGCACTGATGAAAGGCATGGAAGGCATGGAGGGAATGGACATGTCGATTGAGGCCACCTTCAGCAATCTGAGGCTCTCAGCATGGCTCAGATCAAGCACCTCAAGCTCACTTTCTGAGCTTCTTTGACTTTTTTGGGCAGCCACTTTGCAGCAATAGGGGGCTGCGTCAAGGAATGCTTTCAGCTGTGCTTTGAGGAAGGCCTGGGGCTTCTGAAGCATTCAGGTCTCAGAGTATTCTCAGAAAATTCTGCAATTATAATTTTTTGATGGATGTTGAGACTGAGTGGGTGGGTGCTTTCTGCAGCCATTTGCTCAGCCGTTCTCTAACTCAGAAGCCATTGTGCCATGGCTATCCTCGCCTTCTCCTCCGGAATTTTCCAGGAGGAGCCGGGGTGTTTGAGTGTGGCGTGTGCTCAGCGAGGCGCCGCCTGCTGAGCAGGTTGTCTAGGTTGCTTGCAAGACTAATTTCCCTGCCAGTGCTTGACTGAGACGCGCAGTACCTCGACTTTCAGGTGATGCCCAGATTGGCTGCCTCTTCGCTCAGAATCATTTTTGAGGCAGATGAGCTCCTGAACAACCTCATCAACAAGCTCAGCAGTGTGTTCTCAGACCAACACCTTGGGGCAAGGGCTGCAAAAAGAAGGCGGCTTTCAGCTGGCCCAGCCAGCACCTTTTTGGGACAGCAAAGCAGACTGGAGCTTGGCCCCAACAAGAAGAAGCTCAGCTCAAGACTGTGCTGAGAGGCTGTCGAGCCATGATCAAGAAGCGTGGGCTCAGCACAAGGCAGCCTAGCCATTTGACCAAGCCTTTGCAGAACAAATCCAGCAAGAACAGAAGGAATTGGCAGGCCGCTAAGCTTTGGCCACGCGATCTTGAGCTCAACAAGACTGAGATGTGTGGCACGCTGACTTCCTTACATTGCTGGCCACACCTTCTTGATGAGATGTCTGCGCTGCGCATGAGCTCCTTGCTTTCCCTTTCTTGCGTTTTCGATGACGCCCTTCGTATCTCAGGACACCGGACTTTGCTGGTTCTGGAAGGACAGCCTGCAAAAGGACAGCCCAGCAGGCTCCACGAGAGTCTGAAGCATAGATCTGACATGTCTGCGTCTTTGGGCTTCCTGTCAGGAAACGCAGCAAGAAGGCAGCAGTGCATGTGGCTTCTATGCGCTTAGCTACATGGAATCTGAGTTGAGAACCAGAAAGGGCAAATGGCCCAGGTTCTGGATTCCGGTCTTGGCTAAGGCATGGAGATCCAAGCTTCCGAAGCAGTTTCAGCATTTGTTGAAGGAGAGGAAAGCAGAGAAGCTGAGCTCAAGCAGCACAAAAAGATGATCAAGGCTCAGCTAGAGAAGGCTGAGAAAATTAAAGCAGCAGCTGAGGAGAAACTTGCAGCAACCAAAACAAGTCCTCAGCAATAGCTGAGACAGCTAAGGCTGCGAAACAGCCTCAGGTTCACTTGGGATGACGTCTCGGATCAGGCTGCTAAAGCCTCAAAGCACAGCAGCTGTGTTTGCAACAAGTGCGGGTGGCAGTCAAAGGTTGCCACGGCTGTGATCCTTGGAAGGCACTCAGGTACTATGTCGACACTGAGGGAAAGCACATTTTACATTCAGCTTGCAGGGTCTGAAGACCTGGCCAAACTTCTGAGCAAGCTTAAGGCCACACTGAGGCCTACAGCGTCTCAGGCTGAGCAAACACAGATTTGCAGAGTTTTCGCTGCTGGGACTGAGCCAGGAAGCTGAGAGGAGAAATCAGTTACCCATAGTGCGCAGTTTGCTTAGATTTTTCCACCGGGATTTTTTGATATCTGAACTTGACATAAATCGTGGTACCGACCCAGAGGGGGAGTCGTGCTTAAGCCGGGGAAACTTGACATAATTCAGACTACCAACATTAAACCAGGTGCAACATTATCCTGTAATCACAAGCAGCAATGGATTCTCCTTCATAAGGTCGTACTCAAAGGGGTCCCTTCCCTTTTTTAAAGTTCTTACTTAAAAGCTGCATTCTGAACACTTTTTGGGGGAAATCGAAGGGGCCTCCAAGTTTTACTTTTTTGGGGGACCGTTAATTTTATGGGGAGGCGAATTGTGTAGAAAGCGCGAGCGTGTGTCTCAGCCTGGGTAGGTCAACTTGATCCTGTGACTTGGGGCCTTTTGAAAATGGGTAGGTGTCAAAATACCGACCCCAAAAAGTGTTTTTCCTCGGGCTTTCCTTTTGACCAAGGATTGCAAGGCTTCCCGTGCAACACCCTGAATGGCGTGTGAGCCTACTTGTCGACCAAAGTCTGCTTACATAAGCCCCAGGTGAGTGACAATCAAAACCTGGTATTAAAATTGTCCACCCAGAACCAAAGAAGGCAGCCGCAACTATTTATGGCTGGGACTGTCCCTTACTAACCTTCACTTCCCGGGTTTTGATTACGACTCCGGTTAGTGTGGCCCTTCATGCCTTGAGTCTGCATTGAACCATGCAGCCCTGGATTTGCAGTATATAGCCGACATGGTCAATGTGTAGAAGCCTAACCAAGGACCTGCGAGTTCTGTGCATTGCAAGCCGGAAGCTTGGCACTACGGCATCGCCATAGCTCGAAGTCGGAAGTAGCTAAGCAGCTCATGCCCCCAAGTCAGAAGCTCCATTTTTAGTCTTCCAGACAAAAAGGAGCATGTAAACAGACATGACAATCCAAGGGTCACCCTCCTCCAATTCAATTGTCCGCTCGTCCTGCCGTCTAACCGGAACTCTCTCTGAAACGGACGGCAACCTATCCACCTCTGCCCACGGCCTGCCAGGAAAACCCTTGTCGCAAGTGGCGGCTTGCCTCGCCAAGCGGCAAATGGCCCAAGGATTGGAATGGCGTCATTTCTAAATTTGCACTTCCTGAGGACCAACAAGTCTTTCTGGGTCGCACGTTGGTTCTGTATGGAAATGCACAAATCACTTCAAAACCCAAAGCCCTTTCAAACCATGACACATCAATCGCTACGATCGTGGAACTTGTCATCCCAGGAATCCTTTCAACCGTCCTAAGCATACACGAGTCAAACTTGTATCCTGATTGACATCAGCCGGACATATCTCTAAGGGCAGCGCCTGAGAGTGAGGAAAACATTGGCCCATTTCCCGGGAAACAACTGCTGTAAAGACCTTGTTCTTTGAGGCCCGGAGCAATCCCTTCGCACATCAACCCCACCAGTGGGTGTTTTAGCACTGGAAACACGGGGGGCGTTCAAAGGAGACCCCAGCCCCAGGCTTTGACCCTAGCGAGTCACGAGCCTTGCACTGGGCGTGGCTCTGCCAGGTCCTTGCCAAATGCAAGTGTTCCCCTGGGTCCATCTAAAGCGGACCAGAAAAATGGGTGGCCTTTTTTTGGTTTCCCTTTTGAACCAAAAGGGCTCCAATTGTAGTAAGATAATCCTCAAACATACATGAGCTCTCTGGTGAAAAAGGTGTCCCGCCCTTTAAACATATCTTGAGAACCCTCAACATGCAACCGCTGCCAGGGGCCCAGCAAAACAGTCAAGCATGTGGTGTCCGGAAACATGAGATTGTCCGCATCCTTCATTTTGACAAGCTACATGAACTGCCTATGCACCTAGTTGCTTTCCACCTTGCAACTGGGTCCCAATCTTCAAGCCGTTTGCATTGCTCATCGTCTTCACCTCAATGCCCATGGCGTCCAACTTTGCTTTGCTACGTCCAGGCAAATGTGAAATGGCTGCTGGTAGTCTTTGGCTTCAGCGAAGGACTGTCAAAATTTGCTTGGACAAAAGCACTGGCAAACAGGGCAACGGACATGCCGCAAGTCTGCAAACCGTCCTTCAGTCCCAAGGTAAAGGCATCTAAAGAGAATCTTTGATCTGCAATCCAGGCTGATCGCAAGAATCGACCATTCGCATTTCTGCTTTACGCATGGCAAATGAACAGCCGCAGGACGCCAATTCTATTGCAAGCGTCGCAAGCATAGGATCTGGTTGCCTTGACGTAAGGAACGGCATGTGCGAAAGTGGCACAAACAAACAACACTGACAATCGCAACAGCAACCATCACTCTCACGCACAAAACACGTCATACCAATGAACAGCGAATCACCATACAAAGAGCCGCGTGGGCGCTGGTAACGCCTCGACACGATGCTTCAAAGGAGCCAGGTGGACCGAGGCGGTCTGTGTGCAGCACAAAGTCCAAGAGATAGTCCTGGCGAACCTGGCGCAAACGCTCGCATTTGGATGTGTTTGCGAGATACTTCTATACGTGTTCAGGTTGGTTTCAAGGGCAACTAAAAGGAAACTCATTCTTGGGTCCCCCACACATACGCGACTTCAAGGGCTTCCATTTCCACGACATGGGTCTGTCTCAAAAGGACATCACCTACCTGAAGGGGTTGCTTATTTGGAGAAACGCCAGCATGAGCGGTCAAAACAGGGCCCCAAGAGGTAGGACAACGGCTCGTCCTTTGGTTTTGGGTCGTTTAGTGAGTGCGTGTTTTAAAAAAAAATCCCCCACGTTGACGGGTTCTGAAGGAACCTTCTTGGGGCTTCTGCTCCAAAGGCTCTGAGGATTTTTTGGGTCCAAGCTACCTCCGTTTTGCCACGGGTCCGATCGGACATATGACCTGTGTGGAGGGGGCCATTTAGTGTGTGCTTTGCGAAGGGATCCCTTGGAATTCCCCTGACCAGAAAAACATTGATGACCCGTGGGTTCTACAGGCTTCCATCGGATGCCACCATGCGCTTTGGTGCAAGCCGGAACCCGTTGTTCCCATTTCGGGTCCCCTGAGCAAAGGAGAGCAACTTCAAACAACAACACTACGCCCATCGCCTCCTGACTCTTCTCTCTGCTGCGAGGCACTTCTGCCTGACAAGTCAAATTCCTCCCGAAAGCGCTAAACTCCAAGATGCTTCTAAATGCGGCCTAGGGGAAAACAGGCTTTTCCCTTTTGTTGCTTGAATCTCTCTGGGTTTGACCGAAAACTGGCTGGCGAGGTTGGGGCAACTCAGGTTGTGTAAGTCAAAACATGTTGCAGCCGCTGGTCTGAAACCATAGAATCTCCTTGAAGCGGGTATCAAGAAAACGGATAAATAGTGTGCAAGATGCTCCTACATAGAGCTTGCTGGAATGCTCAAAAGCAGAGTCTAGCAATCAACCAAAAGCAGCAGGACCTACTGAGCACAATGAGTAGACGCCGCTTGGCTTGCCATGAGCATGAATGCAGAAAAAAACCAACCATTTCAAGAAAATGGACTGTGGAAATGTGCTGAACACGCATGAACAACATGACAAGCACCCTAGCAAGTGGTGTCCATTGACCAAAGGCAATGACTCCTCCAGGCATCATTCACCAGCTGGTGTCAACACAAACAATGAGTAAGAAACACCAAGCTAAACCATCAAACATTCCCTGAATTTGCGGCATCTCCTTTCTCACCCTGCACATTACTGTTGTCTGTTGTGTATGGGTGAAAGACCCGACTTTCAGAAAGCTGCTACGAAGCCTTTGCACGCCTGCATTTTTGCTTCCAACCGTTCTATCACGCTGAAAAGGGAAGGAATTCAACACGCCTTTTTGGAAGAAACGCCTTGGACAACTCCAATCCAAAGATATGAGAGACAGCCTGCAGCACAAAACCAAAAAGCCAAACAGGGCAATGCCTGAACACACCAACCAACATTCAGCAAACATATCCATCAACGGAAGTCTCTACAAGGTCTGAGAGCAGGCAAACTCGTCCTGCCTTTATAGCTGGGACATCTAGAAATCTCGCTCATTGCCCATGTCCCAAATCCCACAAACGCACCGTAGACTGGACATCCTCACCGACCCAGTGCAAAATCGAAGCGCCTGGCTAAGCTGTTCCGGTATCTCCTGAGGCCAACCAACGCAACGCTTCCCGCAAAGCAGGGCTTTCAATGACTCTTGTTTAACAGTGCTCCCCATACTGCTCCCGAAACGTGCCCCAAACCAAAACTTGGGCAACAAGTGTGACTGGCAAAGGACGGAAATACAGGGGCCCGCGTTTGAGGACTGCAAGCTAAATCCCGCAATTCAGAGTGGAATGTCCGCTCGGGTGGCTTGCCTCCAGAATTCATCCATCTCTTGGAATGAGTATGGAAGGATCAATGTCCTTTCGAGGTCAATCACTCGACACACCATGCCACGCACATGACGGGTTTTGGACAACAGATTGCAAGTGTCTGGCCGACCGTCGCCGTACTTCATTGGCGGCCACCCACGCCCGAAGTTTTTTCAAGCGCGACGGGCGAACTATGGCGAACTGCTGGTTGAAGGTTGAAGGGGATGGGTTGCCCGTACAAGGGAACCGGACCATAGACACAGCTTAAATGACAAGAAACAAGATCAGCTGCATTGAAATTTGGCTGCGTTTGTCCGGGAAGTTGCCAGGGCGCAGGTGAGGACCAAACCCATGACGTCAAGCAAACTTGCGTCAAAGCCGGGGAACGTCCCCAAATGGTGTCGTTCTGTTTGACCTCCCTTAAGCTCTCAAAAATGCTCGCGCCCAAAAATGAATTTGAATGAGGCTCGGGCACGGCTGGCAGATCTGCGGGGCATGGGCGCCTGACAAATGTGCTGGGAACGCCAGGCGCCCTTTTTTTGAACCGCGCCAAGCATGCCACGCAACGCGCAAACTGTGTATCTATATTTTGAAACATATACACATATCTACAGCTATGTACATATACGTGCGAATGCAGGCTATGAATGTCACTCACAATCAGAACAGGTAGACTAATGGCAGTATGTTTCCTTTCCCGTCACCGCAGAAGGTCTGCGTTGCTTCTTCACTCCGCGTTGGGAACTGGGGTTCTAAACTCCTTCCAGACCAGGACACGAATGCCCCAAATGCAGGTCTGGAGAAAGATGCGCGAGAAATAGAATGAAGCAAAGCGTACTAGTGTTCCGGGCAGGAGCCATAACCCCCTCATTTTCTTCAGGGTCTTGAAGTCGGCGTCAGCGCGCCAGAGCAGCTGGTAAGCTTGTCATTCACGCCGAAGCGTCAGAATGTTCTCAGAGGCAGTAAGCCGCTGGCCAGTTTCGTAGAAGGCTGAGAGGCTGGGCTGCTAAACAGGAGCCATTCCCTCAGCCCCCCAGCTTCCAGTTCAGACCCATTCCCCCACCAGTCCCCAATCAGCCCGAACCACCCTTCGGACAACCCTTGTCCAGTGGACAGCGGGCAGGCCGATCAGGTCTTCCGCTGATCTGGCTAGGCCCCTTTGAGTGCGCAGCTGACCACCAGCCTGCACCGAAGGCAAGTCGGGCTAAGCCTAGTGCTTCCACTTCGCTGGGCCGGCCCCCGCCGCTCGAGTTCAAGTTCCTGGCAATCACTTTGCGCTGCAGCCCACCAGACGGCTCCGCCCAGAGCGCAACGTTTACCATTAAACCAGGTGCAAAGCAAGTTAGGAACACCTACGAGGTAGGGCAATGACGCGCATATATGGTAGAGATCACAAACGCACGCGGCGTTGGAAAACTAGGGCAATGAGTCCAAACGCGTGCAGGGTTGGAGAACGAGGTGGGAACACCTGAAAATTCAACCATGTAACAAATGACTAGCGACTCAAATGTCAGAGGGACCAAAATTAAGCAGAAGCACGGATGAAGCACCACGCGTGGAGACAATGCCCAAAATGGACGGCACCTCTCGTCTCTAACACCCGCACGAAAGCCGGTCCAGTATTAAGAAGCTCCTAATTCTCCTTGATGCCCCTTGTTAAAGAAAGCTCCATTAGAAAGCATCAACCACCAATTTTGATGAGATTTGCCAGTAACAGCAATAACACTAATAACTCATGATACTAAATACATCATAGTAATAGTGACAGCTCCTATGTAGTGCTAATGCGAAACCGCTATGGCACTACCAACTCCGGCATCAGCATCGCTGCAATGGCCGTCATGAGGCCTGGTAATTATTCAAATTGCCGCATGTTTCCAACAGATTTGAGGGGTTCTGAAGATGGTAGATCCGTAGATCCGTTCTGAAGGGCAATGAACAGGAAGCAAACCATGTTGAGGAGTCAATTGAGAAACACCCGTCCTCTGTTTTGCGAAACACCCAGTTTGGACGTCATGAAGTCTCAACGTCAGACCTGAATGCCTCCGAAACCGCTTCCCGCCATCTGGTTAGCGCCCACACATCACATCGAAATCTGCCGTCTCATACCGTTCGAAACACCTTGGATGTCTCCCTCTGGTGTTGGGATGAAGCAGCATGGGCTGGAGCAAACAGATTTTGCCTTCTAAAGCTCAGATAGGTTCAGTTTCCTGGAGCCCTCAAACACTCCCTGTTTTACACCTCTTTTTCGAACCATAGCGTTATTTCGAACCACACAACAGAACCTGAGGCTTCTGGCCATAGGGTGTTGTGTCAAACTCACCAAACAGGCCCCCGAAATGGCAGAGAATTATTTTGGTTTCCCGAAACCATGGTGAAAAGGGCACCCAGAAGAAAAACACATACCTCACATACCCATCTTACGACTGGGCGCACACAAAGCACCTCGGAGCCTCGTCCTTAAACATGGCTTTCTGAGGAAATGCTGTTGCGCTTGAACTTTTGACACATCCTGAAACTATGCCTCGCATGCGAGCTCTACTGGATTGATGGACGGGGACCAGGGTTGCTTGGCTGTCCTCCAGGTCGGCCATTCGGGCGTAGTCAAAGGGTGCCTGATCAGCACGGGGGGTTGATCAAAAGGTCCTGTAACCAGAGGGCTGCCATTGGGGAAAATCACAAAAACGATATTATATTGTGTCCCACTACATGGCAAAAGTTACCCATGGTCATTTTAGGGCCAGGAATATGGACCCCCCCCACACACCTAAAGCTCTCTCAGGTCATATTGCCTCGCCGGATTTAGACTGCGAATCCTTGACATTGGGTTTAGCCATGGATTGGGCCAAAAAGGCAACTTGTTGAACTGGCTACGTCATGGCTGCGCGTTTTATTCTGGCCGCGCCTTGAAGGCCGGCACTGGTCTCTCCGGAACCTTCGCAGCGTCCTAAGGCTGTGAGCTGCAGTCTGGAAAGGAAAGAATGCCATGGGACACCTTGACCCGTTGAATGGGTGCTAACAAATGGTTTCTTCCGGATGGTACACATGAACTTTTACCCGCTTGCTAGAACTTCCGCAAAACATGACGCGGCTTGCTTAAACTCGTTAAGTGGCCATGCCAGGCACCACAAGCATTCTTGTACCTCAGGCCCCAAGTATGTCCAGTTCTGGGCACTTGCCACTATCGCTAATATGTGAAGCCTGCCCAAGATGCCAAATAACCAATATGGGCTTGTCTCAAAATTTGGGACTCCTCGAAGTGGTTGGCGTCCTCTTTGTATTAATCTGGAACCACCCAAAAGGGGTCTTCGCATTTGGAGACATGCCCAGTGTCTCAAACGAGGGTGCCCTCTCCTTGTGGAATCTGTGCATCTCGAGGTCATCCTGAGAGCTTCGGCTGGCTGTCGGACATTCTCATGGCATGAAAAAAAGAAGCTCCCAACATGGGCTGGCCATTGACCGACCCACCCCCATGCTAGCAAATCTTGGCGAAGGATTTGAATCTGAGCATGTTTCTTTGGGTTAGTACCCTTTGCGAGTTGTAGGAGAGCCACATGTTCTTATCTTTTGTTGGTCCCTCTGTTGACGCATACCAACATTGGTCTTGCTATTGACCGACAGTCGCAAGGTAAAATGGGCAAACAGGCGCAACACGTTCTTGCGGATTTCTGCCTGTAGATGTTCAGCTAATATGTTGTCAAGGGCAGGCATAGGGTCTCTGCCCACCCCCCATACTTGATGAGATGGTGCAGCTGGGTGCAAGTGGTCACAATTTCCTCGTTGGTTGCTCCCCCTTAATTGCTAACAACTACTTTCACCCTGGTGTACTGCAAGGGCCGAAATGTAAGCCGAACCTTTACCGAACACGGGGGTTCTCTCAGCTCAGGCCGAGCTTCCATGGACCACGCTGTTGCATCAGTGCCCACCTGCGCGCTTCGTTTCAGCACTCTCTGCGAGAACTGTTTGGCGATTCAACATGATTAAGCCACCAAGCCGCCTAAACAACATCATGGCACTTTTTAAGGAAATGTACCAGGGGGTGGTGGTTTTAAGCTTGCCCAATCCGGCTAGTTACAACCTTTCCTGCCAAAGAAGATGCACAGGAGTTGTGAAAATGCGGTGCGGCATCTACAACAAAGCTTGAAGCCGATGATCCCACACAAGGATTTCTTCAATCACTATGCACTTGCAAGCTTGGCAACCTCAACCCAAGCTGTAATGAGTTAAGGGAAAAATGAAGCACCCGTTGGAACCCTTGGGCCCTGGCATGGTCAAACCGCTCTGGAGGGGACAAAGGTTCTTTTGAAAGAATGCTTATACTCAATGTAATGATCATCTAACTTTTGACTGGAGTGCATGACATGGTTGCGTTTCATGGGGGTGGCTTAACAAAAAGAGGTCTTGAAGGAAATCTGCGGAACCATTGCGTGCGTTGTCAAGAGAGCTGTCCCAATTGGCAGAACAACCGATTCGAGACTGTTCACAACCCTATTCCACTGCCAGGAGAGCCATAACTTCTAGGGCCACCCAGGTGCGGTTTGTTAAACATCCCGCTTTCATGGAGGATAGCCCCAAAACACACACACACACACAAGGGAATACAAAGGCAATGAACATCTGTACTTGGAGGGCGTCTCCCTGCGCATGGGAAAATGAGTGGCCCCTGGACAATTAGTGAGTCCCTGCATATGTTGACCCAGAAAAACTCTGCAAAGGGCCAGGCAAGCAGCGCCCAAACCCCATCGCCCTTGTTATCAGATGGTTGAGGCTTCTTTAAGTCTCACTATGATCCCTAAACCAGATAGTGCTGTGGTTTTGGCGTATGATGTTGGCAAACCAGCAGGGGACCCGTGATTTTGGGGGACCGAGATCCTTTCAAACCCCCCCAGCCGGCTTTGGGCCCCTGGGCCGCTCTCGCCCCGCCAAGCCGTCCCGCCTCTTCCCGTGCCGCCTCCTCGAGGGCCAAATCCTCCTCCAGCTGCCGGATCAGCGCCTCGCTCTTGGCCTCCCGACGTCCCTAAAAAGAAAGGGCAGGTGGACAGAAATCCCCACCAAAGGGTCCAAAAAATCAGCTCATGGTCAACTACCAAGTTAGCTCCAAGCTGCCGCCAGCCCCATGTTGGGCCCACTCGGATGTCACGGTGTTTTTTTACTTGGAGATGGAGTGCAAGAAATCCAGCTGGTGTGAAGGCCCGAAGGGGTGGACTGCAAATATAAAATGTACATGGGAATTCATGTCTAGCAATTTCAAGCGTCTTCTCCACTAATAGCAATCTTGTTCGGTTCCCCCCAAAGAAAAATGCGTGCCTGTTTCGAGGCTACCCGGGGTTGCTTTCACGGGAAATGAAACGAAAACCAACAAACTTGTGACTGGGATGTTTCATATGCAACCCTTTCAAAACAATTTGGTGGACTTCATTCTCCCATAACATGTAAATGATGTCCGGCAAAGTTTCCTGATGCACCCAAATGTCTCATTTGGTACTCGCCACACTGACAAAATAGAAGAAACGTCTTTTCCCCGGCTTCTGTGGTCGCATGACACGGCAAAATCAATATGGTAATATTCTCATGTTCAACCACCACCCTCGTGAGGTGTTGATATTCACGGCACCGTGGCATTCAAATATGGAATCTCAGAAAAATGACCAAACGCAGTGAACGAAACGTGCAATGCCGCTGTCCCCAGCTCGCAATAATAGCACCAAAGTGGATGTTTGGGAGGCTTGGTGTTGTTTCCCTTTTCGCCTCTGCAAAAAGGGTTTCATACCCTCAAACCACCAATCCAAACCACCATCAAATCAACCCCAAAATATGTTTTTCTACTGGGGTCTCCTTGCAACTAATAAGAGTTTGACTGCCAGACCCTTTGAATATGTCAGAATATCCACGTTTTCAGTGGGGGAATAAAAAAGGGCGCCACTGAACAACTGGGTAGCTAGCAATGTCCGTCCTGTAGATGCAACGAATCAAGCAAATCCAGTGCAACCGCTCGAGCGTTTCTGGCAAATGGAGCGCTCAGTACACGTCCAGGTTCAGCACGAGAGCACAACGCACACAAGGCAAAACACCCAAGGAGAGATGGTTTGGCCAAAGCCGGCTGGAGCTTGCTGTTTGTTTTGGTTGAATACCCAAGACAACACAAATCAGAGGGCCCTAAAAAGGGCTCTAGTAAACGGGCTCCAGCTTCCACCAAAGGACGATCACGTGTGTACATCCTAGAAACTGATTGGGGTCACCCAAACTGCCGCCTCAAAGGCTCCAGACAAAGCTGGGGCCATCCATTCTTAACACATTGAAGCCCACATCCGGCCAAAGTCTAAACCTATGCATTATGGACATGTGACAACATCGCGGGGCTCCTGTTGGCTTCCTGTTGAACCTGCCTGACAAGATTCTCCTGAAAAAGCACACACCCATTTTGTAAGCAGTGCCCATCAGTGCCCAAAACCCCTATGAACCATTTAGGCAGGTTCTACTACTCACCTGGTTTAACAGGTTTAACAAGGATTGTAGAGTAATGAACATACAATCTTTACAACTATCTTCGAACCGGCAGCCACTGGGTTTTGTTGGCTGCTCACATGACGTGACTGGGTGTGTGCTATTTGAGGGTACCCTTTCCGGGGTCTTCTGGCAGGAACACGCGGATAATCGCCAGCCATTTCGTGGATCAGGGAACCTCCACAAGTAGTCAATCCTTTTGGTGTCCCTTTAAAGCAATCCCAAACAAAACACGCGCCCATTCTGAGACCTACCATCGCTCCTGCCTGAAGCTCTGAGCGCGGGTGCCAGTCCTCCCAGCCCTGCAAGGCGTGGCAGAAGGACGCCGCACAAAGCTTTACGTGTGATTTCCGCAACATGTGATCTTGCTTGCGAGAACATCTGACATTTTCCCAAACAACATCTGACATATTGTGAACATCTTCCCATGCCAACATGACCAAGAACATATGTGTTTGTGTTGTGTTGTGGTCGATCCAACATGATGTAAATGGTGTAAAGGGCGGATATCCGCACATGATCGTGCTTGGGAGTCCCTTCCCATCTATCCGGGGTTTGAGTGTGGCTCAACTTTTGCTGGCAAGTGGGAAAACACGTACAGTTTCCACATGTACAGATTTCCAAACAGCTAAAGGGGGTCGGAATCATGCTGTAGGAACCTGCGGGCTGGCGAGCCTGCATGCCTCCTTGCATGCGCGTGTGTGTGTGCGCGCGTGCGTGTTGTGTGCGTGTCTGTCTGTCTGTGTGTGTGTGTAGTGTGTGTGTGTGTGTGTCGGGTGTGGTGGATGGTGTGTGTGTGTGTGTGTGTGCCTGCATGCATGCATGCATGCATGCATGCATGCATGCATGCATGCATGTGTGCAATTGCAAGGGTTTGAGCAAACGGGTATCGCTTTTTTGGCGTTCCGTATCGTTTTTAAGGAGTATTCTTAAAATATACGGATGAAACATTTTGATACAAAGCAAATGACGGCAATCTTGCAGCCAGCTCAGTCGGATCATTGCTTGGCGGGAATATCATAGTCCTAAGTGGCAGCCACCCGAATCGATTTCATGCCGTTCATACTTCCGTGACACCAAACAAAATCACGGGGAGTCCTGTCAAACTCTTGTGCAAGGGCACCTCAAAATAACTGTGGCGAGGGGTTTCGGTACATCCGCAAAATTCCGCTCAATACCCTTTCGCCTGCATTTTCGGCGGGTCAAGGTTGAAGTCACTAATCTTATGGCCCTGCGGGCTGCCAAGTCTTCGCGATTTGGCCCACTTCAGCTTGCTTCCACAAAGTTCAAAACAACATCGAGCGAAGCATCGGTTTGGCCCAGGCCGCACAAAAGTTGCTGGGACTCTTCCATGGTTTATCGGGCAACACATGGCACTACGTATGGATCTTCACCGCTCATGGTGCATGCTGGCAGAACAGAACAGCACAATGTCAACAGTGAACTCTGACTCATTTCTCGATCGCGCCACGCCAGAAAGCAAAAGCCGTGGAAAGAAACAAAAAAACATACGTCATTCAACTCATCAAAGTTCAGGAATCCAGGATCAGCCCACCTTGTTATGCGTACTTCCCAAGTCATTCACACCAGCACGTACCTGGAGTACTTTGTTTGCTACATCCTTGGACATCCTCAAACCCAGGCCTGAGGCTCCTGGTCTCTGGGGCCATCAAAGTTGTGGCCGCCAAAGTCCTGGTACGAGCAAGAAACACATCGTCAAGCCGAACGGAACACTTTCTTCTCTCATCTTCTTCCTCGCAAAAGGCCCCTGTCTCAGTCATGCAATGTGCCTCTGCAGTGCGATGAGTCTCAGCTGCCCGATGGCGGCTGAGGTCAAGCAGTCGCACTATGTAGCGCTCGCTCATTGGAAGTGCACGCTAAAAAACGATCCTCGGCAATATGTATATATATATATGCACAAGTTCCGTATTGCCCTGATTGGGAGGCTTTCAGCCTAAAACAGATGCCTAAACATGCAAACACTTACTAATAGAACAATCAACCTGAAGCATCATCAACAGTGCCTCCGAATGCATCAACTTGAAAATTGGCTGTGGCTCCAAAAACCGGTACCAAAATGGAACCCTGGTAAGTGGAACCATGGACCAAAACCCGCGTAACCCCCCCTGTTTAATTTTGAGCCACGGCCAATTCGCTACAGAAAGGCTTTCAAAGGAGTAAAGTCATTGGCGTTGCTAATAAACACCACCTTGTTGCCTTACGTTGTCGACTGCAGAGCCACACACCCGCGCTTTGTAATTGTGACCCAACGTCATGGTTGAGCATGATCCATGCGCAAATATTTGATCAAGGCTTCATGCAATCCTTTCACCACCTCATCTGACTTCTCTCTTGTGCCACTTACTCAAGTCATTGATTCCACTGGCCTGTTGCTCCAAACCTCCGCATCGCCATTGGGGCTGCCAAGATTCTTCCATCTCAAACATCCTGAGACCCAGGCCTGAGGCTCCTGGTCTCTGGGGCCATCAAAGTTGTAGCCGCCAAAGTCCTGGTACGAGTAAGAGACACATCGTCAAGCAGAACGGAACACTTTCTTCTCTCATCTTCTTCCTCTCAAAGGCCCTGCCTCTGCAGTGCGATGAGCCTCTGCTGCCCCATGGCTGCTGACCTCAAGCAGTCGCACTATGTCGTACTCATTGGGAATGCAAGCTGAAAACTGTTTGTCGTCAAGAAACCGACTCGACCATACTTGCAATATATATATATATAGATGCACAAGTTCCGTATTGCCCTGATTGGGAGGCTTTCAGCCTAAAACAGATGCCTAAATATGCAAACACTTAGTACTAGAACAATCAACCTGAGGCATTATCAACAGTGCCGCCGAATGCGTTGACTTGGGACATGCGCAACAAGAAGGCTTTCAAACGTGTGAAGTCATTGGCGTCGCCTATGGTACGTCTGGCGTATGGCACAAACACCACCTGTTTGACTTTGATTGTCGACATTAGCGCCACACAACCACGCTTTGCAACTTGTGACCCATCGTTACGGTTGAGAATGATCCATGCATAACTTGTTCAAGTCTGCCGCCTTATCTGACTTCCAACTCTTGTGCCACTTGCTCAAGTCATTGATTCCGCTGGCCTGTTGCTCCAAACCTCCGCATCGCCAGTGACAGCCCCATTCTTCCATCTCAAACATCCTGAGACTCAGGCCTGAGGCTCCTGGTCTCTGGGGCCATCAAAGTTGTAGCCGCCAAAGTCCTGGTACGAGTAAGAAACACATCGTCAAGCCGAACGGACACTTTCTTCTCTCATCTTCTTCCTCTCTGTCAAAGGCCCTGCCTCTGCAGTGCGATGAGCCTCTGCTGCCCGATGGCGGCTGACCTCAAGCAGTCGTATTGTGCCGAACTCATTGCCAAATTGGGACTGCACGCTAAACAACGATCATCGTCAAGAAACTGACTCAACACCTTGCAATTAATATAGATGCACAAGCTCCGTATTGCCCTGATTGAGAGGCTTTCAGCCTAGAACAAACAGCCGGCATATGCAAGAACTTAGCTAGAACAATCAACCCGAGGCATGTTCAACAGTGCCTCCGACTGCAAGTCTCAGGCAATTATGACCCATTGTCATGGTTGAGCATGATCCATGCGCAAATATTTGATCGAGGCTTCATGCAATCCTTTCAAGCTTTCCGCCGCCTCATCTGACTTCCATCTCTTGTGCCACTTGCTCAAGTGATTGATTCCGCTGGCCTGTTGCTCCAAACCTCCACATCGCCAGTGACAGCCCCATTCTTCCATCTCAAACATGCTGAGACACAGGCCTGAGGCTCCTGGTCTCTGGGGCCATCAAAGTTGTAGCCGCCAAAGTCCTGGTACGAGTAAGAAACACATCGTCAAGCCGAACGGACACTTTCTTCTCTCATCTTCTTCCTCTCAAAGGCCCTGCCTCTGCAGTGCGATGAGCCTCTGCTGCCCGATGGCGGCTGACCTCAAGCAGTCGCACTGTGCAGCACTCATTGGGATTGCACGCTAAAAAAAGATCATCGTCAAGAAACTGACTCAACAATTTGCAATTAATATAGATGCACAAGCTCCAATATTGCCCCGATTGAGAGGCTTTCAGCCGAAAATAAACAGCTGGCATATGCAAGAACTTAGCTAGAACAATGAACCCGAGGCCTGTTCAACAGTGCCTCCGACTGCAAGTCTCATGCGCTACATAAAGGCTTTCAAACGTCATTGGCGTCGCTGATGGTGCATGTCGGACATTGGGCATAGTCACCACCTTGTCGCCTTTGATTGTCGACATTAGCGCCACACAACGGTACATTGCAAGCTGTGACCCATCGTCATGGTTGAGCATGATCCATGCGCAAATATTTGATCAAGGCTTCATGCAATCCTTTCAGAGTCTGCCACCTCATCTGACTTCCAACTCTTGTGCCACTTGCTCAAGTCATTGATTCCGCTGGCCCGTTGCTCCAAACCTCCGCATCGCCATTGGGATTCTTCCATCTCAAACATCCTGAGACACAGGCCTGAGGCTCCTGGTCTCTGGGGCCATCAAAGTTGTAGCCGCCAAAGTCCTGGTACGAGTAAGAGACACATCGTCAAGCAGAACGGAACACTTTCTTCTCTCATCTTCTTCCTCTCTCTCAAAGGCCCTGCCTCTGCAGTGCGATGAGCCTCTGCTGCCCGATGGCGGCTGACCTCAAGCAGTCGCACTGTGCAGCACTCATTGGGATTGCACGCTAAAAAAAGATCATCGTCAAGAAACTGACTCAACAATTTGCAATTAATATAGATGCACAAGCTCCAATATTGCCCCGATTGAGAGGCTTTCAGCCGAAAATAAACAGCTGGCATATGCAAGAACTTAGCTAGAACAATGAACCCGAGGCCTGTTCAACAGTGCCTCCGACTGCAAGTCTCATGCGCTACATAAAGGCTTTCAAACGTCATTGGCGTCGCTGATGGTGCATGTCGGACATTGGGCATAGTCACCACCTTGTCGCCTTTGATTGTCGACATTAGCGCCACACAACGGTACATTGCAAGCTGTGACCCATCGTCATGGTTGAGCGTGATCCATGCGCAAATATTTGATCAAGGCTTTTTGCAATCCTTTCAAGTCTGCCGCCTCATCTGACTTCCAACTCTTGTGCCACTTGCTCAAGTCATTGATTCCGCTGGCCTGTTGCTCCAAACCTCCACATCGCCAGTGACAGCCCCATTCTTCCATCTCAAACATCCTGAGACTCAGGCCTGAGGCTCCTGGTCTCTGGGGCCATCAAAGTAGTAGCCGCCAAAGTCCTGGTACGAGTAAGAAACACATCGTCAAGCCGAACGGACACTTTCTTCTCTCATCTTCTTCCTCTCAAAGGCCCTGCCTCTGCAGTGCGATGAGCCTCTGCTGCCCGATGGCGGCTGACCTCAAGCAGTCGCGCTATGTCGCATTCATTGGGAGTTCAAACCAGATCTTAGCGCGCCCTGGTCAGAAAGCGTTTCAAGTGGCATAGTGAAAAACATTGCAGAAGTCCCCTAGAGTAGCAAACCTCATGGTGCTTTCCTCCTGAAGAGATGATGACAAGTCCTATGGACCTCACCTAAGCATAAATGGATTTGGGCAACCATCTGAACCAGGCTCTTTGATCAGGTCCAAAAGCATAATCTTTGTGCACCAGCTGAATTGAGAAGCTTTTGAAGGAGTTGCGCATAAGCGCGGTGTCAAACTCCAACTGCCTGATCCCAAACCCAGCCGTAAGGGGACTTTAAGGTCGGAACCCGGACTGGGATACTTTCCATCTGAAACCAGTCTGACAATAGCAAGGAACAAGACCCATGAAAACAAACCGGTCTGACGTCAAGGGCAATCTTGCTGGTGGCCTCTCAACGCCGCTCCCCTTGATGAGACCAGGATAAGCCACCTAGAAGGATCTTATTCTGGGTGTAATAGTTGAATGCCCTCCCCCCCATAGCCCTTGGAGGCCATGATTGTGGAACTTTAAACACCATTCACTTCCTCGGTTTTACCGGCTCGGTGCAGAGCTGATCTGGCCGGTCGCTCCTCTCTTCGCCGCTCCTCATTCGCCGCTCCGAATTCAGAAGCGAACCTCAAGAATCAAGAGCGATAGCAAAAATGAACTGGTCAAACGCATGCCCGGCACCAAAATCCGCCGACACTGTTCGGCGTGTCGGATACTTACTAGAGGATAGAGGATAACACCCCCCCCTTACCCCCCCCCCCCGCCCGACGTCAAATACTTATGAGTTTGGGGGGGGGGGGGGGCACGTACCGCGCGGCAATTTGATGACGTTCCACTAAACGTAGTCTTCGGGGAGCCAGTGTCGCAAAACAGGGGTCCCAGGCTCGATTCCCCCTGCCGGCTTCTTTGCTGGCTTGGGCTCCTGCATCCTTTTGCCGAAAATGTGGAAAAACTCATTGTTTTTGGACGTCCTCTTTGCGAAAACGCTGGAAAAACTGTGTTTTTTTGCGAGCAATACTGGTGCATGCATGCATACATGACATTACATACATACATACACTACATACATACATACATTACATACATACATAACATAACATAACATAACATAACATAACATAACATGCATACATACATTAATTACATACATACATACATACATACATACATACATACATACATACATACATTACATACATTACATACATTACATACATTACATACATTACATACATTACATACATTACATACATACATACATTACATTACATTACATTACATTACATTACATTACATTACATTACATTACATTACATTACATTACATTACATTACATTACATTACATTACATTACATTACATTACATTACATTACATTACATTACATTACATTACATACATACATACATACATACATACATACATACATACATACATACATACATACATCATTACACACACATATACATACATACCATACATACATATACATACATACATACATACATACATACACATACATACATACATACATACATACATACATACATACATACATACATACATACATACATACATACATACATACATACATACATACATACATACATACATACATACATACATACATACATACATACATACATACATACATACATACATACATACATACATACATACATACATACATACATACATACATACATACATACATACATACATACATACATACATACATACATACATACATACATACATACATACATACATACATACATTACATTACATTACATTACATTACATTACATACATACATACATTACATTACATTACATACATACATGCATACATACATTACATACATTCATACATATGTAGATACATAGATACATACATACATACATTACATACATACATGCATACATACATTACATACATACGAGAGGAGATTGGGGAGAGAGAGGCTTGGGGGGATGGGGAGGATGGGGAGCAGAGGGAGGGAGAGAGGACGACAAAACACACAACAAAAAGGGAGAGAGGAAGAAGGAGAAAAGGGAGAGGACAATGTCGGCGGACTGAGCCGGAGGCTCTAAAGTAAAACATTCCAAACCGGCCTTGGGATTTGCAACCGTCCCAGCATTTGAGATGTTTTATGGAAAAAATCAAGTAGCAAATCTCAGTCTCTGTCAAAACGGTAGTGGGGTTGTAGGGTACAAAAAAGCCAGAACTAGTCATGAACAAAGAAGCTGATGTGTGTAGTCAAACCCCCCAATGAGGGTTGACCCTCGGACTGTCTGGGCCTCTCTTGGGTCACAAAACGCAACAAACCTCCACTGCACAACAGCATTGTGGTCTGCCCTGTTTGCGAAGACGGCGTGCACTTGGCGATTCGCCAACATGTTTGTGTCTGGTGCGTGTAATGGTTTGGGTCGACCATGACTGGCACAGCATTCCTCCACTCCAGAAGCAATTCTGTGACCAAGGGCGGACGCAATTCTCCACTAAATTTGTCCCATCGAGGCGAGCCATGTCGGTATGACCAGTTGAAACTGACCATGCTCAATACTTACAAATCACATGGCCTGTCGCACGCCGTTGGGTCTGAACGGCATCTGCGCTCGGTCTTGCTCAGCCCGTGACTAAGTCCTCATCCCGGCGTTCCCTGCGCTCCTGCAACGGCAGCAAGGGAGCAAAATGACTGCGCGCGTCTATGATGCGTACGTCCCCCTTCCCACCACCCCGCACAACCCCTCCCCGCCCCCGCCCCGCCCCGCTTCGCCCCCGCCCCCGCCGCTAGAACAGATGGCGCCGACCGAACATCTCTGCTGAGGCGCAGCTCTCGTCTGCCTTGCCGGCATAGCATCTGCTTCGTCCTGCATTGACGCGCAAACACCAACTGTCACCACCACCATCGCTACTACGAATCATCGCCCCTCCACCCCGGCGCTACCCGGACCATGGCAACGCGCAGCCGGGGTTTGGTGGCGCCCCAGGAGTTCCTGCTGGAGCATGGCAGGACAGCAAACTGCTCGTTGCGGGCCAGAGAGGACACATTGCGAGGTCAGTTTCCATGGCCTGTAAGTCTTGGCCGAAAACCCTGGACCGCAAGTGCGGAGGAATGAAGGATGGCAAGGAGAAGAGAAAAGAAGTGCCCGGCTGTAGAAGCCCAGGCCGTAAGCGACAGTCAAGGATCTTAAGAAGGATCCCAGCGCGGCTAAAGTCCACTGGATTAGGGCGAACCTCCATGTGAGGAACAGCAAGGCCTGGGGCTGTGGGGATGCGCTCCTCAGGGAGCCGAAAGCTTGAGGATCAGGTGCGTATCCAAGGGGGGAGCAGCCGACTGGGTCGACAGGAGCAAAGTCATGTTCTTGATGAAGGCCGAGGTGGGTTCCCAAGTAGCGCCACGGGCCTTCTTGTCCAGGGCCAAGGCGAAGCCTTCAAGAGCTGGAAGGCGCTGACCCTGCGTAGTGGACCTTCACCACAACGGCCGAGGGGTGGGGCGCGGAGTAGAACTCGATCCGGATCCAGAGATTGTTTGTGGAAAGGGGGGTAGGCGCGCAAACCTCCTTGTCCGGCAGGCCTTGCAGGACGGACCCAAGCAACTGGCAGAAGAGAAAATCAAGAGCCTGGGCAACAGGCACCGTGCTAAGAACGTGCGCCAAGGCCATGAGACCACCTTCGAAAGCCCACCCCGCCCCACCCCGCCCACCACCCCGCGCACACCACACCCCGCGCCCACCAGTCTTCAACAACATTGTTCTGTGGGGGGTAGACCTGAAGCAACATGGTCCTCACCTTGGCGGCGAGAGCTGGGGTCGCACAAGGCTGTGAGCACCCGAAGTCGCAAGCCGCAAGCCTTCCCCTACTTTATGCCAGCACCCACGCCGCCCTGTCATCTTCAACAACATTGTTTTCTACGGAAAGGGCGGCTCCTTGCCTAGATGAGCACCTACTTCTTTGATCACCTTGAACCTCGATTCGGTGAGAGGGGTGTGTGCGCGTGTGGGGAGCAAGGGCAACAGAAAGGGCAGTTGTTGGCAGCGTGCGCCGGTAAAGAGATTGTCAGCCAGAGACTGGAGCAATTTTAACTTCAACCGAACTTCTCGGACGCGCTCTCGACAGGTTGTTGTTTTTTCAATTCAAACTTTTCGAGTTGTTTGGCTTGGGGGGCCCTTTCTTTAAAACCCTGGTTTCGACTTCTATCCCCGGCAGCCCTGGCGATTGAACCTTGCCTGAACAGTTCATCTTGGTTGGGTCGCCCCGCCCCTGCGCCACACCCCACACCCGACCCCACACCTCACCCCACCCCACACGCCGCCCCACACCCCACCCCACCCCACACGCAGTTAGTTGAGGCCTTGCTCAGTTTTAATTTTTGCCCTCCGAAGGACCCCGCCCGCCAAATGATGTAAAAACTCCTATGATAAAATATTAGGCTAAACTAGTTTATCATAACATTTTAATGGGCGTGGTGTTCCTTATACAATTTCTTTCCTAAATGGTCTAGCGATAAACAGCGCCTACCCCCATTGATAAGACATAACTGCTAATGTACATTTATTACAATGGAACAACTCCTTACCATCAAGCATTGTTTTATGATGTGGCTTTTCTTCGTTTTCAAATTCTTCAGGTTTATTTATTTAAACAAACTTAATAACAAAGACATTAAAGAACTGAAGTCCTCCACTATGGCATTTTCTCAAATTGACTATGATGAAGACACGGGGGTGTATTCGTGAAACTTATAAATTGCCCTTGCTCTATGACAGCATTTTTGTTGAAACTAGGTGGGGTTCCCCCTTTTTTGGGGCGATTGTTCCCCCTTTTTTGGGGCGACTCTTCCCCCTTTTTTTGGGGCGACTGTTCCCCTTTTTTTGCGGCAACTGTTCCCCCTTTTTTTGGGGCGACTGTTCCCCCTTTTTGCGGGCGGCTGTTCCCCCTTTTTGCGGGCGGCTGTTCCCCATCTTTCTATACATATTTCATGATAATTTAGGTTTATTATGAAATTTGTATTTTCTATCTACCTAACCTTGCCCGTCTTTTATGCCATCAAATAATCATATCGTATGAACCACCGGTAAGCACGCCCCACCAATTTTAGGTTGCGTATTTGTTTGGTCTATATGATGATGCAGTGGAGAGTAGAGTGGTGTCTTTTCATGCCCAGGCCCAAATACGGTTCTGTCCCTACTGGTTTCTAGTGCTGCGCTTTTGAGGTTGTCACTGGTGCATTAGGATTTAGGAGACCTAGGAAAAGTTTAAAGCTGGTTCAGGCGTCGTAAACATAGACAGAGACACAGACATAGCATAAACATATATCGCAAATAAACATTGGCCTAGACAGCAACTATCACTACCACTTTTCCGCCGTCGCTAAGTGGCGCAGTCAGCGCGGAGCGCTTCGCCCAGCAACACGTTGGAGCGTCTTTTCTTTCAGCTTCTTCCGTTTGTGGGCCTGGCGGAGGAGCCCAAGGTGAAAGACAGGCTCAGGGCCAGGGGAGCAACGACAGCCACTGCCACGCTTGCCCTTGCTAGACAGCTGTTTGCAGGCCAGTCTGCTGGCCACCCTGGCCCGGCCAGGCCAGCTGGCCCCTGGCCCAGCGCTAGCGCCAGCGCCGAGCTGGCGCCGAGCTAACACTGACTCCGGCCGGCTCCCTCAATTCTGGCCAATTTCGAAGCCTGAAAGCAGCGCCGTATGGAAGAAAACAGATTTGCTTTGTTGCCGTGATTCAAAACACGCGTTGGCCCGTGCAAAGAGAAACATGCGGTGGAACTCTGCGGCGTTTCAGTCTCGGGCCCAAGTCAAACCCCGAATTTTGTTCACCTCGTCCACCGTGTCGGCAGGATCAAGCCCCTGGCATCGGCGGGGTGCAGTGTGGAAGTCAGTGTCCGCCCTGCTCCCCCGGGGTGACAGTGAATGTCCCTGCAAAGCTCGCGCCTCTGGCTTATTGTTCCGACTGGAAGAAATCAAAAACAAGGGTTCCATCACAAACAACTCTGGAGCAAAATTGTTGCGGTCCGGATGTCATTTGCGGACTTTGATTTGCAGGCTTGATCTTGTTCAAGGCAAACCCATGCCAGGATGCATCTTGTGTTGGGCCCTCATCTCAACAAGACATGAAATTCCTGATGAGGGTTGTGGGCTGTCCGCCCTGGATTCGGAACTTGGCTGACCAACTTTTGCAACAGCGCCACCCTGTCCTGTTCAGGCGGCCATCGCGCTAGACGCACAGTATTTGTCGCCGCTATTCCCAACAACGGCCACAAGCAAAAAACACTCGCCAGATCCTGTTGAAATTCAGGAAGCTCCGTCGCACGTCGCAAGCCCCGTCGCACGCCGCTGGCGGGTCCTTCTCAAGCTGAAGCTGCTGCTGCTGCTGCTGGCTGCGCTGTTGGTTGCGCAGCTGGCAAATTGTCGGACGGATTTTCCAGAGGAAAGCGTAGAACTAGCACAAGAAAAAACACAAGAAAAAACACAAACAAAGCACAAGAAAAAAACACAAAAAAAGCACCGCAAAACCACAATTACCCTCCAAACAAACCCGGCTACTACTTTATCCCCGGAAACCACAAGCGTGAGCACAAAAAAAAGCACCGCGAAACCCACAAGAAAAAGCACAAAGGACCACCGCAAAACTCAAATTGGAGCACCAAAAAAAGCAATGCACAACTTGGCCGACGGGCCGACTTTTGAAAATTACTTTCCCTTCAGACCGCGAAATTCAAATTACTTGCCCCAGGACCCCCCCCCCCCAGGCATCCCCGGGACACCTTAAAAATTAAAAAATGCGTTAGTGCGTTAGTGCTCCCCCCCAAAAAAAAAACCGTTAGTGCTCCCCGCGACACTCTTGGAACGAAAAAAGGAAGGAAGAAAGCACAGACAGAAGGTTGGTGAGAAGGGCAAACAGAGGGGAGGGGGTTGCTGTGGGCTGGATGTTTGCGTGAGAGGGTTCTGAATCTGGCGGGGCTGGGAGGTTTGGGTGAGGGCCGCAGGTAAGAAGGAGGTTTGGGGGGAGGGAGGGCTGGATGGGTGAGGGCAGCTTGGTTGGCAGGGAGGAGGTTGGGAGCGGAGGCTGAGAGAAGGGGCTGTGAATCGGAAGGCTCTGGCTTACGCTGGGGAGAGGTTGACTGGGAGGGGGTGTTGTGGGAAGCAGCAGCGACCACGCCAAACAGAAAGGAAGGACGGAAAGGCAATGTTGCAACAGCCGCGCTGGCCGTCGTGTTGCGTGTGCCTATTGAATCACATTATTTCAAGGTTCCCGGAGCTATCCCCCAAGATGCAGAACGAGTAATTTAGGTTTCAGACCTGCACGGGTATATACCTATTATTTTTTTAAGAAAGAGCAAAGTTGCTTGCTTTTTGTGGTGCTTTTTTTTGTGCTCCTATTTGTGCTCACTGTTAGTGGTCCGGGGCCACCCCCCAACCTATACTCCTATTTCCACTCCAGCATCCTAACAATGACAATAATGATGGAATAGCCATGAGAAAAAATGATTTGATTGAAGGATTTTGAGGTTGAGACTGTTATAAAATGTGTTGAGTGGAAATAGGCATGATTAATAAGGCTGATAAATTGAATAGTGAAAAAATGGTTGAACAATTGTGATTTGGTGTGTGGGGGTCCTTCGGAGGGCATAAATAAAAACTGAGCAAGGCCTCAACTAACTCACGCCGCCCCACACCCCACCCCACCCACCCCACCCGCCCCACCCCGCCCCACCCCGCCCCACCCCACCCCACCCCCGCCCCCCACCCCAGAACATCCCCCTCACCCAACCCGCACCGTGCCAGTTCAACAAGGGAATGCCAACAGTAGCAAATCTTCCGAAGCGCATGCTGCTCAGTTTCCGAGCCGTAGTTGTTGAAGCGAACTTTGCTCACAGAATCCGGCATCGGTTGGGATGAATAAAACGCTCGAATACGGGAATAAACTACCTACATTGTTGCGAGGCAGAGTTTGCCCATCCAAAGGTGCCTGCTAGTGTCCTTCCGTCAATACCTCGCCAAAATGGCGACTCCCCACCGGACAATACGTCGATGACTGTCCCACTTAACCTAACTCAACCCAAAGGACATTGGTCCAACAAGCGGTGTTGAAGCTGGCAAAAAAAGGGACATGTAGGCTAGGGGCCCTGTTGCTCCACCCACATGGGGCTGGCGCTCCCAAACCGCACTCTCCAAATTTGCAGAATTGGCCAAGGGCGGCCTCCGGATGCAGCTGAGACCGCAACCTCCTTTTGGCTTCCCCGGTCGTTGAAGATATGTGTGCCTTCCTTTGGGGTTGGTTTTACAGAACCAAAAGGAAAACCCGCCATTTTTGGGGGCTCCCCGAAATTTTGCCTTCTCCAAACCCCAGTTTTTCCAGCTCCTTGCTCTTTCTGGCCGGGTTCTCCCGCAATCCCAGGGCTGCTAGAAGCCCCTGGTCGAGTTCCTGCGAGCATCTCAAGAAGCTCGTGTTGGTCCGCTTGCTATCCCTTGCTTGAGTGCGGCACTCGAAAGTTGCTTCGTTAGATAGTTTCTTTCCTGGTTGCTTGGTTCCAGCGGTTACTGCAAGGGGATCTGGCTTGGAGCTGCATCCTGCTTTCAGGCAGTAGAGCTTAGGTGCCAACCCTGGCGGTTGCCGGTGTGTCTCTCTAAAGGCTCTTTGTCAAAGATCCCCTTCGCACCATCGCCCTGAAAAAAGGAGGCCAACTTTTCCTGGCCAGTTGCTCCCTGCGAGGCTGATCACCTGTATATAGGTTTCCTGGCAACGCCATTCGCGTGTGACACAAACCCCAAGACTCACTTCGGTCTTCCTTTCAATTTCCTTTTCCACCCAAATTTGCCGACTCCAAAAAAACAACACCCCCAAGGGCTCCTTTTTGACGCCTTCACACGGATGAGTCCGGAACGCATCCGAACGAACCGCCTGCGCCGGCTCCGGCTTTGGCCGCTCCAGGCGGCTCAAGGCCTCTGTGGCCGCCTGATTCACCAAATCGACGTCGCTTCGTTTTGGAAACTCCTGGCCCACAAAATAGATAGACAACATTAAATGTGTCTCTTTCGTTTGTATACCAGTAGAGCCGGCGAAGCCCTGTGTATGTGCTTGTGCTTGTGTCTGTGTGTCTTTGATATCTACGGGCTTGTGATGACCCGGGCTAAACGTGCCCCAGCCTTGAGCGCATAATTGGAGCTGCGATCGTCAAGGCCAGAAAGGCCTTCCTGTCACGCAAGAACGCTTCGCACCCAACATTGATTTATTCTGGCAAAACCAACCAGAGAGGCGTGTTCCTTTCTGGACCAAAGAACCATCAAGTCCATGTGGCACCGATTCGTCAACCTTGCGGAGTAACCAAACACCAAAATGCTTCAAAATGCTTCAAGTTCAGGTGAGAACTGGATGAGTACTCCAACCTCAAGCTGCTCCTGCGAGTGGTCGCACACATCCCTTGATCCTTGGGAAGCAAGCCAAAAAAAGGCCTCATACCTTTGTGCATGCTCACAAACCACCACATCGCCAGCCACAAGGAACCATGGGAATGAGTCATGTAATTGCGAGACTGGTTGACAGTTTCAGTGGTCAATCTGGGAGGGACATAGCACTCAATTTCCCCATGAAGATCGAGGAGGCGTGTCAACAGCATGTGTTGACCGCGGTACATGAAAACAGCCGGGACCCAAACATCGTCTTTCAGACGGGTCCCTCAATGCAACCACCATACTTGATTGGTCACCTTGCAAAAAGCTCTGAATTGTGCGATTAGTGAGAAAATACACGCAAAAAGGTTAAAAAGCTGAAAGGTCGTGCTAAAGAGTAAAGAAGTTCGACGGACCCAGCTGGACCCAGTGCCGTCTTCGCCAGTTCCGATTCCTGCCTCGAAACCACATTGCCTCATGGCCTCAGAGACGTCGTCCGACCGCGGCCGGTGCGCGGTGAGCATATCCACCTGGGCAAGCCCTATCTCTGATGTCTGGGTTATCGTTCAACTGAATCTATGCGGGGGAGCGACAGGGCTGGCGTGGCTGTATCGTGATCGTCACTTCCTGAGTGGATTGGCCAACTAAGAGAAGCCTAAACTTTTGTATGCCACTGAAAGTCCCAACGAGTATGAAGTCCATGAACTCAAGCAGTGAAGCTTTGCGGTGGTTTCGAGGCCGCGTGCGGAAGATAGGCTCTGGAGGCTCCGGAAGGACGGAGGAAGTCGCAACATTTCAGTACAAGTGCGGCACGCACAAAGCATGGGACCGCGGCCTTTCGCAGGCCTTTCGAAAGGATTTTGGTGCGCAAAACCTGTTTCTGGCCTACTATCAGCTAAATGTAACGCGCTACGTGCAAGTATGGCGCTCTGAAGGTATCACGGTCGAGAAAATTCTGTCCCAATAAAGACTGAGGTCGCTGAAGCTAAGTATTATTAAGTGTGATTCGGGCACGAGCCTGTGCCCAGGCAATGGGTAAGTTGGGGTAAACAAGCCACAAAAGAAAGGTTCCCCAAAAGCAAACCAATCCCCGGTCCCAAAGATCAGGGTTTCCCACACACCAGAGAACAACAACCAAAGGAAAACAAACCAAACAAGAAAAGGGTTAACCCGCAACCTTGGTCGACAACAGGCCGCACGACTGGTCCCTACCAACCTGGCGGCGGCCCGAGGTCTCTTTCTCCCCCGAGATGCCGTCGGTCGACGCAGGGGTTCGGCGACGCCCATTCGAGGCGCGACGGAACCCAAAACTTGAGCCAAAACACCACAGGTCGGTCACTAACGCGACGTTCCTGATGATGATATGAACCATGGCTAATCACACCCCCCTCACGAGGAGCCCGTCATATGACGGGTGGAGCGTGCCATTTACTGATAGGATTTAACTGCTCGCATGCGTCCGCAAACAGCTGGACACTACCGCCGTCAGCGGTGGAGCAAACCCACAAAGGCAGTTGCGCGACATCCCGGGCATTAAATTCCCGCCACCACCCCGAATTAATCGGGGTAACGCTGTCCAACAAACCTTGTGGAAAAGTCCACATGACGACACTAGGTCACAACTGTTTGCATCAACAATGCAAGAAGTTTAATTCTTATCAGAAGCCATGAAATAAAAGATAACGTATGTCCATTAGTACCCTCGCCTAACGGCAAGAGGTACTCCTGACCATGCGTACCTGAATAAAAATGCTTGAATTCTGCAAACCCGGGAGTAACCCCCCATCAGTTTGCTTTCCCTCTCACTCACACTGCTCCCTGATGAACACGTCCAGCAGCCCAGCAGCGGTATGGGAGAGACATGACCTCCGCGCCTCAGCGGTCCGGGAGGAACATCACCACCTCCGCACCGCGCCGACCATTGGAGAATGGACGCAAGCCTATCGGCCGCAATCCTCGTGACTCAGCCTACCGGCTATCGTCACGTCTCCTCCGGTCACGTCCGCCCCGCGCACGGTCCCTATCACGATCCCTCTCGGATCTCCTGCGATCATCTCGCCTTCGATCTCGCTCCCGATCGAGTGATTCATCATCACGACGATCACGAGCATCGTCCCTCCTCCGGTCTCGATCATCCTCGCGCCGTGGACGGTATCTGCGCCTCCTTGACTCCCTGGAATCCCTGGTGTCCACGGTCCTAACGGACCTCCGAGAAGGAGTACGGGAGACATCCGATTCCCTACGCCTCCTTCCAGAGCGAGAGTTCGTCACGATCTGGTTGAGAGCCTCCAGTGCTGACGCGTCCTCACCATTTCTAATGAAATCCCTGACTTGCTTGTTCAGCACTCTGTTGGTGGAGACTGCCAAAAGAGCGTCCACCACCGAACTCCCAGGCAGCACCAGGAAGTGACCCTCCACCGGGCTCGCCGCAGTTCGCTCAGCCGACTGCAACCTGATCTCACCGCCTTCAGGCTTCTTTGCCATTGCCTTGGAGGCCGTCAAGGGCGCTACCGCGTCCTTCGCCGAAGATCTGCCAAGCGCGGAGTGAAGATCATCCCCACTAGCCTCTCTCGCTGCCGCACCTGGTCTGCTGTCGACGTCATCAGGCCTTGTTGATGCCTCCCGCTTCGTCGACTCCTTCACAGTCTCATCGGGATCCCAACGGGACTTCCTTTCTCTCTTCTGCCCTTCAGCCGACCCCCGGCTACCGCCAGGAGCGTCATCTCCGCCCATCTTCTCCTTCTTGACCTCAACCCTCGGTTCGGCCTGCTTCGTCTCCTTAGCTTCAGCCTTCGGAGCCGGAGCATTCTTCGCCTCAGATACTGAAGCGGCCTTCCCTTTTGGCTCGGCCTTTGGAACCGGGGTCATTTTTGCCTTCGCACTCGGCCGGGCTCCTTGAACCACCATCTCGACCCAAGTCTTCTTCGGTTGAGTCACAGTTGCATCAACCTCCATCGGAGCTGGTCCAGCATCATCCTTTGCTTTTGCCTTCGGGACAGATGGGCTACCGCCCTTGCCAGATCCTTTACCTGGCACTTCACCTGACTTCGGTGGTGGGCCGGAAGGACTACCGCCCTTACCGCCCTTTTCCCCCTTCTTCCCTTTTCCTTTTCCGCCCTTGATGACCGGCTCCTGCTTGGGACCAGGACCTGGCGCAGCATGATGCACCGATTGAAGTCCCTCGATGTCCACGTTTAGTGGTTCGGGTTGACGACCATCAAGAACCGTCCTCACCCTCTCGTCACTGACGTAGACGAACGGGTCACGAAAGGGTGCGGGAGGCTCCGACTGTCCGGCACTGATCGCCTTCTGCACCTTGGCTATCGCCTCCTTCAACCTCTTCTTCTCATCGTACCCTGTCTCCGACACCATGTACTGCCTGAGCTGCGAAATCAATGCATGGCTTTCCAGGATGTCCACGTCCTTTCGATGGGTCGGATACAATGGGGTCAGATGACCAGCCGCGGAGCCAATCACGTATGCCATCGGGATGTAGAAGGACAAGTACGTGTCATGGCGAGCGAACTTCCTAACGGAAGTCGTCATACGCCTACCCCACTGGGCAGCATGCCTTGGGTTAGCCCGGAAGTACTCCGTAACCGACTCAAATCTATCGACTTGGTTGGTCAAAATCAGGTGCTTCGCCACCCACTTCTCCACGAACGCATCCGATGCCGAAATCCCCGACACATAGGAGAATTGGAAGAGCACCTTCGCCAGCTCATCCCACGCCGCATCGACTCCTCCCTTGTCCTCACCAAGATAAGGGGGCAGTCTGATGCCGCTCTGCACCGTCATCCTCAGATCAGACGCCATCGAATAGGAAATCAAGTTCCTCTTGATGACTCCGACCACTTCGGTGGGGATCCTCTTGGGCTTGAACTGCCCCATGGTCCTCACCCACTCCGGCACGATGTGGCAACTCTCGAAGTCTTTCTCCTCCGCGTTGGGGATAAAGTTCGGGTAAAAGACCGGGAGCGCGCGTCCAGGACACAAATGCATCCCATTTGGCGTCATCTCCGCGCACCTCAAACAGAACGTGGTAGTCACATTCAACCTGACCTCTTCCCGCGATCGCCTGTGCTCTCCCCTAACGGGGGTGAAGTCACCATAGTCCCATGCCCGATGGTACACTATCGTGTAATCATCGTACATGTAGGCCGCCTTCCAAGCTCCCATGTGGATCTCGTTCCTAACGGCCAGAGTCTTCCTTCTTGTCAAAAACACGGGCCCAACCAAGGACCAATGCACCCGAAGGTCCACCATTACCACCACGTATCTACCGGAGTAGTTCCGCAGCCTGTCTCTGACATACCACGAAGGCGATACCTCGGCATCCGGCGCCATGGCTCCCACAAATGGATCAGGCCCTCATCCTGCCTACCATCCCCAATGGTCTCGTACACATCAGGCCTCGTGATCAATATCTCGATCATGGCCTTTCCGTTTCGCCTCACCCTTTGGAGCTGAACCGCCTTCCGGAAGTCCGAGAACTTCATGATGACGTACCCCACCATGGGGAGTTCATTCCAATGCATCTCGTACATCAGAGATCCGCCAGGTGCATCTTCTTGAGTGTACCTATGCCTATCGGCACTGTAACTCATGTCGCGTCCGATCCGCGTGCGCCTAACGGCCACCAACCTAGTGCTCTCCTTGAGGAGGACACCATTCCCGTCGTACATGACCATGAGCATCGCCTCAACTTGCCCTATCGGGAAAGCTTTGAGCGTCGGAATGAAGAACTTCCAAGACATCTCAGCGTTCTCCATGCCCGAGATCTCCTTCAGGAACCAGATGGCCTGGTCACTTTTCACCCAGTTTCCAGCCTCACGTCCGGTCTCCTTCAGCACGCGTTCCTCGAATAACTCCGAGACTCTCTTTGAATTGATGACCAGACCCTCGAAATCGCACGAGAGCAGTCTCATCAACTCCTTAGCCGCCTCCCGCCCTGCAACGGTGCCCACGGTCTCCTCGTAGTTCGGGAGGTATTCGCCCAACCTTGTCTTCGAGGGAACCACAATCTGGCAGGTAACGGCCTCATCAGGGATAACTCCAGTTTCCCTCAACTCTGGATTGATCTCCCGCCTATCGGCAAGATAATCCTTCCTCCCATCCAATATCACAAGATTGTAAGTCATCTTGCTCGCCGCCTCACTAGGTCTGAACCTCCTGCTATCATCCAGCTGATCGGGAGCAAAGGGTCCACTGGGGGCAGCCGCACTCACCATAGGCGCTCCTCGCCCAGAGCATAGGTGCTTCTTGTGAAAGTTCACCATCTGATTCAGCTGCGACAAGGCATAGGCACGATCCTCCAATGACGCACTCTTCATCCCAGCCTCAGTCAGTGGAGCCTCAGGCTTGTCATAACTCGCCTTTCCGCCCCATCTCGCCGCGACTAGCTCAGCAGACTTCGCAGGGTCGATCAGATTGCCCGACCATTCAGGCATGTTACTCAACCTCCTAGTCAACGCGTCTACCGACGCAGCCAAGTCTTCATCCGTCACGGTGTAAGGGTCAACCTTCTCCC